AGACGCATAGCCGTAGATTCTTAGCAGAGCAGCAAAGATTAGCGTGTCTGGGGCGCAGAGTAGGTCGCTATTACTCGCAGCGTAGGCCAATTATCCAGATTCACGTCACAACGTAGACTTCCGCCCTGAATCGAGCCACATCGCCAAACCCCGGGCCCGAATGCTACAATGCCGCCGCGCATGAACCAATGGACGAAGATTCGGACGGCGTCCCATCTGATGTGCGCGTCGATTCTAGCGACGACGATGAGGGGCCACCAAGAGTGGCCCTGGAGATCAGGGTCAAGATAGCGGTCCTTGCACGCACGTACATGCTGCCAAATGCCACCATCACAGACCTCATACAGCTTATGAAGAACAGGGAATGGTTGTTTTCAGACCTGGATGGATGGGAGACACACAGATACTTGGAGACATTTGAGAACGAGTTTCTGGAAATGGAGGGAGAGTGGGAGACAGTGGAACTAGAGCTGGGTGATGACCTTGGGGTCTTGACTCTCCGATGCCGCCTGATCATGCATGTGCGTTCTGTCAAGGGCTGGTTCTAGAAGCATGGTTGCAATGGTCTTTGTCAGGGCCTGCCGTGCTCCCCGCTATAAGCACCATCACGTTCTGCATGCATCACCCCCTGCCCTCGCGACAGGTCTTCCTCCGCATGTGGAATCTGCTGTCCTGGTCGAGGGTTTCGCGACAGCCCTGTTGACAACACGGTTGATGGTGTCAGGCCCCCGGTAAGCAGCACGGCGGCGGACACTACGTGGTTTTTCGATGCGCATGTGAGTGTTGGTGCCTCATTGTTCATAGCCATGAGCCCCACCGTCTCCTTATCTCATGGTGGCACTTCTTGCGTGCCGTGGTGGAATGTGTTTGCCGAGACAGGGTGCAGTGAAGGAGGTCGGCTTGTGTGGGGGGGGTTATTCTCTTCAGTGACGTCACTCATCTGATGTTTAACGGCCAGCAACTGGCTCACCCGATGCTGCTCTCGATCATGAACGCACCCGAGGAGTTCAGATGGATCGAGGGTGGCACGGAGGTGGTCGCCCTTATGCCCCCGCTCCCTGGTGATATGTCGACAGAGGAGAAGACAGCTGTCTTCCAGGAGATCAAGTGCATTGTCGTCGCCCCACTGATGGCTCTCTCCACTCTGGAGAGGTAGGTCCCTACCCGACCCGCTACTGAGTTCTTGTCCTCTTTGCTGTGTTCAACGCACTATGTGTTGTGTATAGACTTGGCTTGGCATTGTCTTACCCGCCTACTCCCACCCCTCTGTTCCACCTGCACAGTGTGGTATGGCAGTGGTGGCCTCATGGTTACCGATCACGAGGGCAGCACGTACCGGGTGTTCCCATTGCTGTACTCGTACGTTTGTGACTACCCGGAATCATGCAAAGTCACCTGCACAATGGCCGCCATCTCATTCAAGCCCTGCTCCAAGTGCATCGTCAACCCGTGGGAGTTGTGCGGCGTGGCGGCGCAGCACCAGCCCCGCACTGTCACCCAGCATAAGCTATTGTATGAGGAGATGCTGTGTGCATCCCCTGAGGAGCGGGATCGTCTCCGCCGGGCGTGGTCCACCCAGTTTGTTCCGGTGAGTGGGGTTGCTGGCCCTATATGGGAGCTAGGATCGACTCATGTTAGAGGTGTGAGCTGATTCCGCTATGGCCGGCTGCCCCATGCACTGCTGTGGCTGCTGCTTCCGCCGATACTCCATACGTCACGTTTGCCGGTGTTGTGCATTGCCCGGCTCTGGCCAACCGCCTCCACCACCCCCTGTATCCGACTCCGACACTCTCGACATTCGCCACCATGGTTTCCCGTCTTTGTGTGTGGCACGCGCTCCTTTTTCCCACTGTGCACCCTTTGGGACTGGGGCTTCGTGGACACTTCTTTGGGGAACCTGTACGCGGCGATCGGAATCTGCCTCATGCACATGCTGGACGAGGTGCCGTGGCTTCACATGATGAAGTGCCTCTCCGGCATCCTCACGCTCACAGAGCTGAGGTTGCTTCTCGCATAAGTGGCTGGACTTGTTAGCTGCCCGTACCTCTTGCCCCATCCCCCACCCTTTGAGGAAGTGGCGGCCATACCGCCCACCTCCGTGCGATTTTCCATGCAGGCAATGCCGTCAGGTGCTGCTCCACACACCGGCCTCCATCCTCCGGACCCCGGACCCCTCCACGTACTTCAAGACGGTCGCCCAGTTTGCAGCGTGGGAGCACCGTGCCATGATGCAGACCCTCCCTCTCTTCTGTCACCTGCCCGGCCGAGAGGACCTCGGTAGCGCAATTGTGGACTTCGCTGATTGGTACAAGTCCTTCTTTCGTGTGGCGTACCACACCGACGCGTCTCTCGAGGCGGCATCCACAGCCACGGACAAGGAGGCCTCGGATTCATTTGGTTTCATGTTTGCTGTTCCGACCCAAGCTCATTCCGCTGCTCCTATCGTGGTGTCTCCAACCCTCGTGCCCCAAAAACGAGATCTCACTGACGCTCCCGGCCTGCCCCCCGTCCCATACCCTCCCCACAATCCATCCTCATTCCTGGTGGCCTCATTGGGGCTCTGGTTGATGCCTTCCCCAACCAGAAGTCCAGATTTGAGCTCCTGAAGGTCCACTTGCTTGCACACATGGTGGAAACGATCAAGGCTCGGGGCATGCCAAAGGAGTACTCGTCTAACCTGTACGAGCACCGTCACAAGTCGGTGGTGAAGAGGCCTGCACAGAACTCAAACTGGCACGATGTCAGCTGGGATATTGCGTTCCGGTCTGAGTGCCTGACCGCCATTAAGCAGCTCTCTCGGGAAGAGGGCGGTGCAGATCAGCACTACGAGACAGCTCTGCGTCTGGTAAACCTGCCCGCGATTCCCTAGGCACCCACCTTTGGTTCAGCCATGCACCAGTTCGCACTCCTACACACTTCGCACTCCACATCTGTGCTGGCACTGTTTGTCATCCGGTTTTAGGTGCGGCATGCAGTTGGCTATGGGGTTGTCTTGCACGGTTCAACATGAACACCACGCTCCATCGTCTCCCTCCCACTCCCCCCCTGGCAGTTCCCTCACCCCCAAGCAAATTGCCTCGAATCTGATGTTCATCCCACGTGCGTGTCCCACACCTGATTTCGCAGGCAGTGCAGCGCCACGCGCGTGTGATGACACGCAGGAGCCGCAGCATGATGCTCGGGGGCATGGGTGACGACATGTGGGACGCGTACTGTGATGCGGTGGGGGACAAAGCAATGCGGCAGTTTGCTTACCTGTTTGGGAGGCTCTACGTGCATGTAACCATGGTGAAGGTAGGTTTTGCTTTAACCTACCCGGATTAGCTGCCCCTATAAGTTCACGTGCAACACCCTCTCCAATGGCTTTTGGCGGAAGGCCTCCTCTTCTGTGAGCGCTTGCGGAGCTTCAGTTATTAGAGGGCGGTCAAACGGGGACCCGGAATACAACCCCACTTTCCCCCACCACTCTCCCCCACATTCCCAACACACTGTCACGTCCACACCCGTGCATGCAGGTTCACACGGCCCTTGCTATCCCGCCGCACGACCACATGGATCGGAGCGACAATGGGTAGGTGGTAAAGGCATCCCCCAAGAAGGGATGGTTCAGCCACATCCGTATTGATGGGATGCGGAATCAGGTGTGGTTTGGACGATGCCTAATGCTGTTTCATTTCATTGGCGCGGAGCAGGAGGTGGTGCGGCGTGCATTCGTGCAGTATTTCACCGAGGTTGACAGGCTGTGCCCCTGCACTCGCTGCCAGCATCTACAGCCCACCGTGGGGGTGGACACCTATGCAGTTGTTGATGTGGACATCATTCTATCCCTCGCATACATCGTACCAAGCTTCACACACCAGGGCATGTTCCTGGTGAACCGTTTCATCTGGTGAAAGGGATGCATGCCTGTGCTTCAATGTCCCTGGCCGGCCATGACACTCCCCCTATTTTTGACCCTGACAATTCTGTACGTTGCTTGTGGGCCATCACTTAATGGTGCCTGCTGAATACTTGTTCTCATAGCTACATGTGTCTGGTGCAAGTGTCGTTTTACCCGCACCCGAATTTCATCAACCTGCCTGACTCGGGGCCACAGCTTGTTGTAGGCTGTCCAAATGTGTGCACAATTTGTTAGTGGTAGGATTTGAACCCGCGTCTTCTACTGGGCATTATGCTCGAGGTGTCCTGTGGGACAGGGCTAGTTTTGGGCTTGATGCACATATAGATTTGGGACAGTTGGTGACAAATCTATCCCAAAACTGACCCAAAAGTGTCCGGTGGGTTCAACTGGGGACATCGGGTTGGGGGGGTCGGATCTGGGTCAGCAACTTTTTGCAGATGTAGTTGCTCAGGAGCCAGGGGTAAATCCCGTCTATGCATGTCCGCGTACCGTTTGGCACTAAGGTTGGCTTTTGTAATAGCCTCGGTAGCATTTTTCTGTGCAGTCTGTAACATCACCAAAAAGTGATGTCCCAAATCTAACCCAAAACTGTCCCGAAGGTAACCAGAAGGTCCAAGGGTTGGCAAGGATCCCAAAAGAGACATTTTGGTCACAATTGGGTCACACGAAGGCCACTTGCGTGCATTTTTTGGCCTGATTATGACCCGACTGTGTCCCAAATGACACTTTTGAGATCCTTGCCAAACTTTAGACCTTCAGTTCACCTTTGGGACAAGCCCTTTTTGGTGATAAAGTCCTTGACGAAATGTTGCGACCGTGGGGCAAGACTCTCTACTAAGGGTGTAGTGGGAGTCGTGGGGTTTAGACCGTAGTTCAGGTAGAACGGTGATTGGGCAGTCGTGGACGAAGGGGCACTGTTATACGCGAACTCGATCAAGGGGTGGGTCTCTCCCTATTGGATTCGGTCGGTACAGGTTGTCCGTATCAGCTGCTCCATGGTTTGATTTGTCTGTTCAGTTTGACCGTCGATCTCTGGGTGATAAGCCGTGAACAGATGGAGACGTGTATCGTACTATTCCCATATTTTTGTCCAGAAGTTGGACGTAAATGTGGGGTCACGATTGTTTACGATTGCCTTCGGGATTCCAAACAGGCGAATGACGGTTGAGATGAACAGCTTGGCAGTTTGCTCGCTGTGATTGTCGTTCGACATGGCATGAAATGAGCCATTTTTGTGAGTCGATCAACGACCATGAGTACAGCATCATTTTGGGATGCGCCAGCTGGCAATCCTGTCATGAAGTCCATGGACACGTGCGTCCAGGGTTTTGTGGGCAGTTCTAACAGTTGCAGTAATCCAGGTGGGACATGAGGCCACATATTGCTGTTCGTCATGGCTCGCATTCGGCCAGTAATAATGACGTTGGAGTATTTTCAAGAATTTCTCAACCCCGAAGTGTCTAGAATAGTTAGCATCATGAACCTCCTGTATCAGTAATTCTAGTAACAATCGATAGGATGGAACCCAAATACGGTTAGTACCAACTTTTAGGTGGTAGTGGCCTCGTTGGGTGGTCAGGGCCTGGTGGCCGTTACAGGTCAAAAGGGGATCAGTATTGTAACCATGGGTAAATAGTCCAGTTAGCAACGGGTTAGTTTGGGTGATTAGTATGACGGCTGTATGGGCAGTGGGGCGAGAAAGGGCGTCGGCAATATTATTTACCCCTTCCTTGTAGGTGATTCTGTTGTGGAAGTTGGACTCGAGATATTCGAGCCAACGAATCTGATGTGGATTGAGGGTCGGTTGGGCTCAGAGGATCCGTAGGGACTTGCGGTCTGTTTAGACAGTAACGTCGGCACCTGACAGGTAGCAGCGCCAGGTCTTGAAAGCGTTGACGGCCGCGGGCATTTCCTTGTCGTGAACCGGGTATTTCCGTTTAATGCCTTGGAGTTTGTGCGAGCCCTAGGCGATTAGCTGCAGACTGTCGCCAAAGTCTTGTAACCGTACCGCGCCAACGGTGATGTCGCTGTCATCCGTAACCACTTCGTACGGATGGTCGGGGTCGGCGATACGAAGGACGTGTGGGGTCATGAGAAGAGTCTTCAGTTGGTCAAACGCAGCTTGCTCCTCTCCCCCCACTCATAAAAAACTCCCTTTTGCAGCAAGTCGGTTAGCGGGGCTGTTCACACTGCCATTTTAGGGATAAAATAGTGCACGTACTTCATGAACCCCAGAAAACTCTGCAACTCCTTGACGTTCGGGTCAATTTGAACACCTTCAGTGGAGATAACGTGGCCCAAGAATCCCAGCTCCTCCTTTAAGAACTTGCACTTGAAACCTTTGGTGATGAGCCGGTGTTAATTGCAGAGGGTAAAAACGACTTCCAGGTCCTTCAAATGTTGCTCCCGAGAGGTGCTGTACACCAGGATGTCATCTAGGTAGACGATGACGTACTTGTCCAGTAGCGAGCGGAAGACTTTGTTTATTTTCAATTGAAAAGTTGACGGCGTGTTCTTCAATCCAAACGGCATCACTGTATACTCGTAACTTCCGTAACAGGTTCGAAAGGCAGTTTTTGGAATATCAGCTTCACAACACAAATTTGGTGGTAACCTCCGCGTAGATCAATGTTGGAAAAAATCATGGCCCCGCGAAGTTGGTCGATTAGATCATCGGCGTGTGGAATCGGGAAACGCGACTTGATGGTGATGTTGTTGAGCGCGCGATAGTCGGTACACATCCGAAGCCCTCCGTCCTTTTAGGGGTGAAGAGAATCGGCGCGGCGTAGGGTGACATGGATGGGCGGATGCTTTTTTTTTCCAGCAGATAATCTATTTGCATACGCAGGTCCATCAGCTCCGGTTGACTCAGCCTCCATTGCGATCGGACGGTCAGATCATTGGCTTAATCTTGTGATCGTGTGGTCGTTCGGGTGGTAGGTGGGGCGGGAGGTCGTCGGGAAATATACGTGCAAAGCCAATCGCGCCCCAGGAGCACATCGCAGTCGTCCGATGTTGTCGCTAGCATCTTTGAGGTAAAATTGATTTAGCTGCCGCAATCAATGGGAACATGTTTCACTTGCTCCCGAATTGCAAGTGGCGTGCCGTTAGCCAACCGCACGTCGATTTTGGGCATGCACCACTCCCTTTGCAGCTGCAGCTTCTTCGCTCTTGTCATATCGAGCAGACTGTGTGATGCCCCACCATGCACTAATACTTTTAATCTTGTATTGCCAACATGCCCTTCCACCAGCACAGGGTAGTCAACAGGTTCACTCCCTTTAACCGAGTGTGGTCGATCGCATAGATCGGCACTACTACTCGGTGGGAATGGTGATCTTCGGGCAATGAAGCCTTATCACTAGGGGGCCCGACTGCTACTGATGCTTTCCATTTCCTGGCTTCCTTCCGTCCTTAGCTCCCGATTTCTGCAACTTCGGACATTTCCGCATGATGTGCCCCGACTGGCCATATTTATAACACCTGCAAGAAAATTGGTTATCTGACGGTGCCGCCACACCGTTGATGGATGGGTATATATTATGCCCTCGAAAACGACTTCCCACCCGGAAATTCTTCCTTGGCCATACACTGTTCTCGTTCCATGCCTTTGCGACCTGCTGCACCTCCAAGAATGTCGCCGGTCGGCGCATACGAATTTCGCGCCGGTCCTTTGGTTTCAACCCTAGGATGTATTGACTCATATTTTTGTCTCGTGTAGATCGTCGATTTTGTCGCAGATGGCGAGGACGTATGATGTGTATTCTAGAATAGAGCCCGTTTGACGCCACCCGTGCAGCTTCACACGAGCGTTTTCGCATACGGATACATGCGCGAAGCGCTTGCGAAGCAGTGCACCATACGGTTGCCACGTAAGGATCTCGGCCACACCAAATAAGGATCCTGTAGAATTTGAAGCCAATCTTTGCTCCCCGTCCATCGATTGTTGCCTGTCTGCCGGAGTCCCTCGTGACATCACGTACTGTCGCCACCTACTTAATGCAGATCCGCGTAATAAAGTTACCGCCAACTTGATGCGTGTCTCATCGTCGTTGACATCAACGGCATTAAAGAACATATCCATGACAAATAGCCACCCACTCAACGTGGTGTGCTTTTCCAGTGGGTTGAACGGTGAGGGCATGGCAAGTTTGATCTTCACAACTGCCTGTCGCTCGCTCGAACAGTCGTCACGTGTCGCTGATGTGTCTGCGGTTGATGCGCGCTCGTACGATCTTCGTCTATGGGAACAGGCGACTCCTGACGCATCACACCAAGTGCCTGGCGAAGGCTAACTTTCTCCTCTCTCAACACGACGAGCTCCAGTGTCATGGCCGCCATCTTCGCCATCATTTCGTCGACCTTAGTCGTCGGCACTGATGCGCTTGCTGCCGCCTCTGACAGCCCAGCTATATGCTCGGGAGTCATATTTCTAGTACTACGGCGAGGCGGGGTATTGACAATTAATTACCCTAGCTAGCTAACGCCACTAAAGACACCACGGGAGCGCACACGACAAGGTCGGCGAAACTGAAGAAGTTCCGGCATGACCGCTGGACAGCTCCTTTCTCCTAACGTGCGAGGTCCCTCTAAAAACTACCTCACGATGGAAGCCTAAATGGGCAGGAACATAGCTCTGATACCAGCTGTTATGATAATCTCTGGATGGGAGCTGAGTAATGCAATAGTGAGATCGTAATTAAAGTGTGTAGAGTACAAATGAAGGTCAGGGCTCAATACAAGCACAGCTAGCCTAGAAAGGGGGCCTCGAGGAGGGCCACGAAACACACGCGAGGTGGTTTGGGGTGCCTCTGGACTCGAAAGTGTCGGATGCGACGCCGCGTATAGGCTTGGTGGTCTCGAACGTAGTTCGAACCTAAAATGTCGGGCCGAGCCTGGACTTCCGAAAGTCAGGGTTGTACTCGATGTTAGCGAGGCTCGGTAAGGAAAAGGGATTTTCCTTACATTTAGATTAGAAAGCGATCATACCATTCAGATCAGGGCCTCAGATTCGTTTAGAGGCACCTTGATAGCTCAGGGTCCCCCCACCCTGGTCTCCTGATTTTTCAGGCCTCTCCAAAAAAAATTCCCTAATCCATCAAGGTCCCTAGAAATTCTCACGCTGAGTAAACATGATTATACACAGAAAGCAGCTGTGTAATATATGCCTAGTATTATGCGGTAGCAGGGTTCTCAATGGCAGCAGGCGCAGAGGGACCAAGGCTAGGATTGGGCTCTGAAAGTACGACCGCGTCGGAAACAGAAATGGACGGTCGCATTCAAGTAGGCGGGATTGACAAGGGGCGGTTGGGAAAACTCACGGAAATCACGGGTGGAGGGGTGGGGGCTGCGAATCTGCTATTACACGAATCTGGACAAACAGGGCTCACTACACTAGTACACTGATCGATCAGAGTTCACTCCTAAAAAAAAGCCAAAATTTCACGCATGTGTCTTAAAAAAATCCTGTCTCATCAGGGTCACCCCCCCCAAAAGCCCTGATTTTACCCTGAATCAGGGTGAGAAGCCTGCAATATGAGGCCCTGATTCAGATCGTCTAGAACGTAATTACCAACGACAAGCGTTGAACACAATTTTTTTGTTCTCGAACAACAATGTAATAACCATAGCCATGTTTTTTAGAGCCAACATGTTTCGTAGTCAAATATAGTGGAGGATGCTGCAATAAAATACTTGACAAATTCGCCATATGGCATGTCTACATCCGCGTCATTATAAAATGTTGACAGAGCTTCAACAATCACCAAACAGCATTCAGAGACGAGACTTGATCATCACAAAATCCTCTCATTACTAAGCAGCACCTCCCTTGCACATTCAAGCATAATCACATCCAAGTCATCACACCAATTCGCATTTCCGTGCATACCTAGTGGAACCACATCTGATTCGTCATAACCGCTCATTATAGCCTGGCATGTGGTGATGTCAGTTGGGGGCAGATAAAGCTCTTCCAGACATGCAGCCCCAGAGGGTTGCAACCTCAGCGCGTCCTGCTGCTCCCTGTTGTCCACCATGCCTTGATGTTGCATAAAGCTGCTGTTTGTGCCGCTTAGACTAGGACCGCTGCTGCTGATGCTGCTGTCTCGGTCAGTCATAGGAATGTATGGAAGGTTGTTGCTCGTGCTGCCACAGTAAGTTGACACGTTGCTGGTTCTACTGTCTGACGTAGCTGCGTTGGGGTTGGTCAAGGCACTGCCGGCACTGTTGAAGTTGCTTGTGGTGAGTACAGGTAGCCTGAGGTCACTAAGGCGTGTGGGGGCAAGCTGTTCATCGCAGCGCATGCCGTTGTTGCGGCTATTGCTGCTGCATCCACCATGCACAGCATCTGCAGCTTGCGGCAGCTGCAGGACTTGCTCAGAATGCTGTGGGTAATCCTGGGGGGAATGTAGGCGAGCATCTCCCTCCCATTGACTCACTGCCTGCTGCTCCCATGCTCCCCCCTGCTGCAACGCCTCTGCATCACATGCTGAAACAGAAACACCATCAGGTGATTCGTTCACACGAGTGCCAAGTGTAGTGAACGTAGCATGTCCCACAGCTATAAAAACTTGTGCTACAGCCCTTGGGACGTCTGACACAGCTGTTGGAACATGTGCTACAGCCGTATGAATTGGTGCTACAGCCCTTGGGACGTCTTCCATGACTGTAGGAACATGTGCTACAGCCATATGAATTGGTGCTACAGCCATTGGGACCTCTGCCACGGTCTTAGGAACTTGTACTACAGCCGTAGGAAGGTGCACGACAGTCGCAGAGACACGTGTAACATCAACAGCAGCATCAGCAGGGGCGTTTAGGCCAGCTTGGGGAATGAGCTGCTCTGTGCAGAGAAGATTTGAGAGGACCTGCTGCTGTTGCTTCTGCTGCAGCTGCTGCCGTTGCTGCCGCTGCTGCAGCTGTTGTTGCTGTTCCTGATGCTGCTGTTTCTGCTGCTGCTCCTGCTGTTGTTGGTGCTGTTGCTGCTGTATCTGCTGTAGCTTCTGCTGCTGATATTGCTGCTGCTGCCAATGCTGCTGCTGCTGTTGCTGATGGTGCAGCTGGTGCTTTTGCTGCTGGTACTTCTGCTGTTGCTTCTGAGGCTGCTGATGCTGATGTTGTTGTTGCTGGTGCTGGTGCTGCTGTTGCTGTTGCTGCCGCCACTGTTGTTGTTGTTGTTGTTGTTGTTGTTGTTGTTGTTGTTGTTGTTGTTGTTGTTGTTGCTGCTGCTGCTGCTGCTGCTGCTGCTGCTGCTGCTGCTGCTGCTGCTGCTGCTGCTGCTGCTGCTGCTGCTGCTGCTGCTGCTGCTGCTGCTTCTGCTGCTGCTGCTTCTCATGCTGACGGTCTCGTTGCTGCCACTGTTGTTGGTGCAGCTGTTGATGTTTCTGTTGCTGCTGCTGCTGTTGTTGGTGTTGGTGTTGGTGTTGCTGCTGCTGTTGTTGCTGCTGCTGCAGTTGCTGTTGCTGTTGCTGTTGCTGCTGCTGCTGCTGCTTCTCTTGCTGATGGTGTTGTTGCTGCCACTGTTGTCGCTGCTGAGGGTGCTGCTGCTGTTGATGTTGATATTGCTGCTGCTGCTGCTGCTGCTGCTGCTGCTGCTGCTGTTCTTGTTGTTGCTGTTGTTGTTTCTGCTGCAGCTGACCTTGCTGTTGTTGCTGCTGCTGCTGCTTCTCTTGCTGATGGTGTCGTTTCTGCCACTGTTGGTGCTGCTGAGGCTGCTGCTGCGGTTGATGTTGCTGATCTTGCGTCTGTTGCGGCTGCTTCTGATGCTGCTGCTGCTGCTGCTGCTGCTTCTGGTGGTGCTCCAGCTGCCACATCTGTTGTTGCTCCTGGCAATGTAGCTGCTGCTGCTGTTTCATCTGCTCAATTAGCTGCTGCTTTAGTTGGTCCTGCCGACCATTGCACCGTTGCTGTGGCTGGAAATTGCCTTTCCACCGTTCCTGCTTCATCTCTAGCTGCAACTGTTGCACCTGCTGCTCTAGCTGCCACTGCTCTAGCTTGATTCTAATGACATGCTCGTCAAAACGTAGCCTGCTTTCATCACACTTGGGAAATGAATCGGATCCTGCTGCAGCAAGTGTAGCTTTTCCTCCGGGGTTACCAGCACTCGAGCCAGCAATTGGGCACGAAGCAATATGACTGGTTTTTTGTACCATTGGCATAATGAGACTGGCTGTTGGATCCCCTGCTGATACTTCCGCTTCTGCCAGTGCTGCTGCCGCTGCTTCCGCGTCTGCTGATGCCTCTGGTGGGTGAAGCAGAGGTGGATAATAGCTGGGTGGGCGATAATGGGGCAGAGGCGAGGAAGGGAGGTCAGCAAGAGCGAGGCTGGAGCTAAATTTAGCTGTAGAAGCAGAAGCAGGAGAGAAACTGGAGGCAAAGGCAGCTGTAGCAGGAGAAAAATCTTGAATGAGGCTGGAGTTGAAGCCAGGTGTAGAAGGAGCAGAAGTAGGAATGAGGCTGGAGGTAAGCCCAGATGTAGAAGGGGCAGAAGCAGGAGTTCCATGTGTGAGCTCTGGTTGACAAGAAACTGCCATGGAGGGGTGTGCTTGAAACGGCACATGTTGAGGAGGCTTGTCGGCCGGAGGGAAAGTAGTGGTGGGTATTGATGGATTGATGGATGAAGGTTTGGGGAGGGGAGGAGGATGCGGAAGGAAGGTTGTGGAAGGAGGGGGGGAAGGTGGAAGGGGAGGAGAAGGACAAGGATGAGGAGAAGGATGAGGAGGAGGAAGGGGAGGAGAAGGAAAGGGAGGAGGAGGAGGAGGAGGAGGAGGAGGAGGAGGAGGAGGAGGAGGAGGAGGAGGAGGAGGATGAGGAGGAGGAGGAGGAGGAGGAAGGGAAGGAGAAGGAGAGGGAGGAGGAGGAGGTGGAAGGGGAGGAGAAGGAGAAGGTTGAGGAGGAGGAGGAAGGGGAGGAGAAGGAGAAGGTCGAGGTGGAGTCTGAGGGTTGAAATAGGGAGCTGTACCCATGCCGATATGTGCAGGGAAGGAAGGCACCTGGAAGGATCCACTCTGAGAAAAAATTGGGGGGCCTGCAGCTTCTGTGCAGGATGCTGGTGAGTGAGAGCGTGGAGGTGACTGGGAGGTTGTAGCACGAGGAAATGTTGCAGCAGGAATACATGTTGTAGCAGGCAGGAAGGCGGTAGCAGGAGGGAAGGTTGTAGCAATAGGGAAGGATGTAGCAGTAGAAAACGTCGTGGCAGTACCAAAGGTTGTAGCAGGAATGCAGGTTGCAGCAGCAGAAAAGCTTGTTGCACTATCAAACGTTGTGGCAGTAGGGAAGGTGGAAGCAGGGAGGGGAGCAGTAGGGAAGGTTGTAGCAGGATGTGGAGCTGTAGCTGGAGGGAATGCTGTAGCAGCAGGAAGAGTTATATCACTAGTGAACGTCGCGCCAGTACGGAAGGTTGTGGCTGTAGGGGGTTTAGAAGCATGAGGGGGACTTGTATCAGGAGAAATAACAGCCCGCTCCTGCAAAGCTTTCAGAGGTGGTGGGGGATGGTTATGTGCACCGCGGTACATCACGCGCACCACCACACGCATCTCAGTCCTCCGCACCCCAGGGTTCTCTTCCTCTGGACGTCCCAACGGACGTCCTGCTGCTGCTGCTGCTGCTGCTGCTGTGGTGGCGGCAGCGGCGGCATCTGCTGCCAAGCCAGAGCTCCCTACCACCCCCTCCTCGCCAGTAGCCGCCACTGCTGCCTCTCCACTCTCACCCCTGCCTGCAGTCGCTGCACTGTCTGCTGCAACCAAACCCGCCCCCTCTCCTATCTCACCCCTGCGAGCTCTGCCCCTTCCTGCAACAGGTTTTGAGGCTCCGCCTCTTAGGTAGGGGCGGCGGGGCCTGGCCTCCCCTGCAACGCGGTCCTCCACCTTCCTGGCAGGGCAGCCTGTTGACTGCTTACTCGCACACACGAAGTACAGCCTGCAGCGAGGGGGAAGGGGGTGAAAAGGAGGAGGGAGGGGAAGGAGGTATGGGTTTGAACAGGTTTTTGGCCTCCTTCCTTGGAGAGAAGCTATTTGATTGCTTACTCCCACACACAATGACCAACACTCTCTGAGGGCGGGGTTTGGGGGGAGACGACTCAACACATCAGAAAAGGCTGAGAGTTAAGGACGGCTGGGCCTAGAGAGCGACAGCAACTGCCTCCAAACAGTCAAAATGAAAACATGGACCCTCGTTTGAGCCCCATCAAAAGCAGCTGCTGGATTTCGGGTTTGTGACGTTAATGTTGCCCACAGCAGTGTCAATATCTGAGAGCTTCATGGCTGCAGATACGTGAAGGCCCATGAAAGAATAGCAAAAGCGCCAGAGGGCAAGAGGGACTGGAGAGGAAGTATTGAGTATATTTTTTTGCTCTGGGTGGGGCTGGGAACGAGATGGCTGCAGATAGATGATGACAGGAGAGCAAGCTAGGTACGAGAGAGTAGAGAAGAATTTGTGTGGGGACATCTCCTTTCCTATGGGTGGATCTGAGAAGGTGATGGCTGTAGGTGATGGCTGTAGGTGATGGCTGTAGGTGATGGCTGTAGGTGATGGCTCATGGCAGAAGAGCAAGTGAGGTAGAGGGCGATAGAGTGAGAGAGAGCAAGAGCGAGTGAAATTATGGGCTGAGAATGTGGCGCCGAGAACGTGGGGATGAGAACATGGGGCCGAGAACGTGGGGCCGTGGGGCCGAGAACGTGGGGCCGAGAACGTGGGGCCGTGGGGCCGAGAACGTGGGGCCGAGAACGTGGGGCCGAGAATGTGGGGCGGAGAACGTGGGGCTGGGAACGTGGGGCCGAGAGCGTGGGCCAGAGAACGTGGGGTTGAGAACGTGGGGCCGAGAAGGTGGGGCTGAGAACGTGGGGATGAGAACGTGGGGTTGAGAACGTGGGGCCGAGAACGTGGGGCTGAGAACGTGGGGCTGAGAACGTGGGGCTGAGAACGGGGGGCTGAGAACGTGGGCTGAGAACGTGGGGCTGAGAACGTGGGGCTGAGAACGTGGGGCTGAGAACGTGGGGCTGAGAACGTGGGGCTGAGAACGTGGGGTTGAGAACGTGGGGCTGAGAACATGGGGCTGAGAACGTGGGGCTGAGAACGTGGGGCAGAGAACGTGGGGCTGAGAACGTGGGGCAGAGAACGTGGGACTGAGAAAGGAGAGGGAGTTGACGTCTAGAATGCACTGCTAGGGGCTGAGAACGTGAAGGCTGCAGATACACGAGGTCTCAGGCGAGCGAGCGGGTTGAGCAAGGCAGCAAGAAAGCGAGGAAATGTCTTAAAACTATGCTCTGTGTGGGGCTGAGAATGTGAAGGCTGCAGATACACGAGGTCTCAGCGGAGCGAGCGAGCGAGTAATCGATTGAGCAAGGGAGCAGGCGAGAAAGGAGAAAGTACGCGAGCAAGAGTGCAAGCCTTGCAACAACTGAAAGACTGAGAGAGCGAGAAAAGCAAAGGAGAAAATAGAGAAAGTACACAAGCAAAAGTTTGCGAGAGGGTGCAACGGTACGGCGCTGCCAAGCTAGGGACGGCTGGCCAGACCGGCCGTGGCTGTGCCTTAGGGCAGAGGTGCGCAGGGGAAGAGAGGAGAGGAAGCTTATTCGACTAGGCTGGAGACTAGGTCCACGAAGAGAGAAGATAGATGATCAAGAAGATAGGAAAGAAGATGATAGTTATACAAGATAGGGAGACAGATATTTATACTAGGAAGGAATGGCATAGCGACTCGGGAGAATAGTCGCTTGTCCATCAAGCATAGCATCTTGGCATAGCGCCTCGATGCTATGCTCTGCAGGACATATCCTTCCAGCAGAGATAGGAGAGAAGACTCTAGGGTAGCAAGTGTCTAGTTCGGATCTCTAGGCATCTCAATCTGAGAATCCCATGCATACCTAGCTATCCCTTTCAGGAATTCCCATGCATGTCTAGAAGCACATGCATGGCGGATCCCGTCATGTTACAGAGGGAGAAAGTGTGAGACGGAAGGGATGCGAGAAAGAGCAGCGAGGGAGAGAGAGGGAGGGTGTGAAAAAACGAGAGATGAAGAAAGTACGAGAAAGAGAGCGAGAGAATGAGAGGCTACGGCTGGAAGAGGGAGCGGCGAGGGAAAGAGAGCATGCTGGCAATCGAGCAAGTGGGCGGAGCAAGAGAGGCCACACTACCTTTTCACCTGCGGACCCCGGATTCGCTTGTGCGACGCCTTCTTCCATCTGAACGCGTCCTCATGACTTCCAGACATAGCATGGTGGTGCTGATGTGGAGGACCACTAATAGTGCTCGTATCACTTTGCATAGGGAGCGGAGCGTACGTTTGCTGGAGCGGTGCATCACCCACTGGGTGACTCATGGGGTTTGTTAGTGTGCCAAGAGTCACACTCCTGTTAGCTCTCGATGCCGTGTCAATAGCATGACTCATAAGACATCGCTCGGTAATAGGCGCCTCAGAGTAATGACTCATGGGATGGTGATGCAGCTGGGGTGAGGGAGATCTGAGGGTGTCATCATCACCCATTACGCTTGAATCTCTTCCGGAAGTGCGTCATCACGAGCTGAAGGTATAGTTGTGCGCCGTGAATGAGGGCTTATGCTGCTCGGCCATGTGTGAAGGTGATATCGCTGCTGCTTGGCACTGATAGTGCTGGTGCTGTTGCTGCTGCAGAGGCTGCGGCTGTTGCTGGTAACAACGCAGGTGTTCCAAGCCGTCGATTGGGTCGCCTGTGAATATCACTGCTGCTGTGGCTGCTGCTGCTGTGTTTGCTGCTGCTGCTGCTGTTGCCGCCGCCTGCGCCTCCACCACCACTGCTGCTGCTGCCTCCACGCCGCTGCTGCTGTCACTCCAGCAGGCTTCGCCGCCAGGGCGTTGGCGAATCACTGCTGCTGCTGATGCTGACGCTCTTCAGACACTTAACTGGCCCTTACTCGCTCTCGTTCACCTTACTCTTCTCCTGCTCGCTCCTGGCTTGTTCTCCTCACTCTCATACTCGTCACTCTTGCTCACGCTCGTTCTGCCCACTCGTCACGAGTTCTGCGAGGTCATATGCTGCTTCTCACTCTTACTTAGCTGTGCTCACTCTTGTCATCTGCTTCAAAAAGTTGCAGTCTTATGCTGCTCCGTCTCGTTCCGCTCACTCCCTACTTGGACCATGATGATCTCAGAGATGGCTGCTGCTTGGGCCGAAATGCTGCTGCAAACTACACATGTGCATTTGTGTCCCCAGATAAGTCCCTGCGAATGAGTTTTCCAGTGGAGAAAAGCGACGGAAGATATCTGCCAAAACCTACCGCCCAGGCTTTTAACAAATTGTAACACAGTGCACACAGCACCCCAACCCACGATGCACTGACACAGTCCTCCACCGCATTCAATGCCGGCCGTTGCAGCAGCAGCACTGCTAGACAAGTGACAGTCACGGACAGTGAACCTTCGGCAGAAAGTGCAGTTGGATTGAATTGCCAGGGCGCTCGCTTGGTTGTGCCAGTGGAGTGGACGCCAAGAGAGAGGGATGGGGGATGGGATGGATGGGATGGGATGGGATGGGATGGATGGGATGGGATGGGATGGATGGGATGGAATGGGATGGAATGGGATGGGATGGATGGGATGGGATGGGATGGGATGGGATGGATGGGATGGGATGGGATGGGATGGGATGGGATGGGATGGGATGGATGGGATGGGATGGGATGGGGGATGGGATGGGGTGGGTTAGATGGGATGGGATGGATGGGATGGGATGGGATGGGATGGGATGGATGGGATGGGATGGGACGAATGAGTCGGAGAAATCCAGTGGACGACACGTGATAGCATCGCGTCATGGTGATAGAAAACGTGACGTGGCGGACAGCTGAGCACATGACGTAACGCGGCGGTACTTTTGGCGCATCACTGATCTGCGCACCAGCATCGCGCTGGTGCTTCGCGAGTCTAGGCTTTTAAACTGACGAGCTCTGGGATTTGTAGGGGAACGGTGTCTGAAAAGGACAGACTGTCAAACATC